TTCTTCTTTGTAAGCCACAGAGGACTACAATATGAAGAGGTAGAAGGTTCGATAATGTTTAAGGAGAGCATTGAATCGATTTCTTTACCTAAATCTGCTTGCCATGCTTGAGGTATGGGATATTGATACTGTCTAAAAGGAGTTGAAGTTTTCACTTCAATAGTATGAGATATTAAATGTGTACGGCCTAGTTTGTCTTTCGAAGAGATCGAAGAAAATTTGGACATAATGGCCTCTAATTGTTTCTGTTCTGAAACTGATAAACTAGAGAAATCATGGATGACAGTAAGAGTGGATAAATTCAGTGGAGAAATACACAATGAAAAGTCTGAACAATCTAAGGTACTATTAAATATATTTAGAAAATCCATGCCAAGAATTATGGAATTTTGTACAGAAGGTATTATATAAAACGTAATGTTTCTCCTAATATTAGCAACTAAAATTTCAGTTTCAAATTTACCTACTATAGATTGGATTGTTCCATCTGCAGTTGAAACTTGCAGGGAGGAAATAGGTGAAATGCTAATGTTAGCTTTATCTAACAATTCCAATGAATGGGAACCTAATAATGAAATATTAGAGCCACTATCCAATAATGCCAAACAAGATTGTCCTAGAATCTCAATTTGGAGATATGGTCGATTATCGTTACATTTTTTAACTAATAAAGAATTTATATCTAAGCCAGAGACTCTAGATATAGAATAGTCATTATAAGGTACTAATATAGAACCATCATTATCATTTTTAATATCAAAACTTGGTACAGATGACAGAACTGTTTCCTGGTCCATATTATTAACATAATTACACCTAACATTTACTAAAGGAGAAGATACTCTAGAATTGAGAACGTCAGAATGGAATGCTTTGGGTTTCCAAGTTACTTTTTCCCTTGATTCGACTTGTTGTGGCGTTTGTGCTTTGTTGAATGTTTCTCTGATGGGGGACCTGACCTTGAATTGCTGGGCCCTGCTTGACCTACATTTCCTTCCACGACAGTGGTTGTACTCCCTGATGGGATTGTAGACGGAGGAACGCTCAGGGTACGAGCCTCGGTCTGCTCGTTTCCCGAACACTTATAGCAATTCCTCTTGAGGGTGTTATCTCTCCCACAACCATGACAAAATATATGCGTCCTTGGTTTTCCACATTCATAAAATGTGTGTCCAGCTTCATGGCAATTCCAACAAGATAGAGAATTTAATACTGACATGTTACGCTCTCGAGATTTCTGATGCCATGAACGATTTTGAAATTGGTAAGGACTGGACGAAGGACCTGAGGTAGGTCGAGATGAGGTTGGAGGATGTGAAGACCAAGACAGAGTTTCTTCAATTCTTTTACATTTATCGGTCAAATCTTCTATGCTGTGGATATCCACTAAGGCTAACTGAGCATGATAGAAAGGTAACAAACCTTTCAAAATGATTTTGATTTTAGCAGAGTCAGATAAGGAAGAATCTAATCTACTGCACATACCCAAAATATTATTGATGAACATAGTAACTGATTCACCAGATTTCTGTTTACGGGATTTGATCTCATCCAGTAGATCATCCTGGAACGAATAGGGGAGAAAATCAGATTTCAACTTCTGTACCAAATCAGACCAACAAGACAAACGACCCCTATTATTCATAAACCACGTGAATGCAGAATCTGTGAATAGTTCAGCTGAAGCAGCAAAAAGATCATCCTCTGAAACACCTCTAGATATCCTTAGACATTCGACACGCTCTAAAAACGAAGTAACATCGATATGTTGAGTTTGACCGGAAAAAGTAATACCCCATTTATGCACTTGAACTGGTTTGGAATAGGAAAAACTAGGGACTATGTTAATTGGAGCATTAGGAGTGGATGAAGCAATAGGGTTAACTCTAGAGTCGAGTTCACCCTCCAAAGTAAGTATCCTAACCGAGACAGACCTTTTAAAGGAGTGTTGATCCTCATCAATGCAACTCAGCAAGTGGACACGACCTGAAATGTGTGCTAAGCGAGAAGTCAGTCGACCATATTGACTATCATGTACACTTCCTCTAAACTCGCCTATTTTCTGAGCTAAGTCATCAAGAGTCAGGGATATTCCTTGCTGTTGTTCTTCAAAAGGAATCGATCCAGCAGAAATTTGAGTAAAACTCCTATTGCCTTCCTCCTGTTTCAAAGCTCCACGCAAGACCTTGCGCTTTGCATCAACATTAGGTAAATCCTCAATATTGATACCCCTAATTTTGAGTTCATAATCCAACTCACTAACCAATAAATGTTCTACTTTAAATGTAGACATAATGAGAATATTTCAAATAATGAATCTCTACAACACACCACAAGACCACAGTATATACCAAACAAGTCAAATTATAGTAATGTAAATTGGTATTAATATTATGAAAAAAATATTAATTCAATATAATAAAAATATTAAAATAATCACAAATATATCAAAATATTAAGTTTAGAAAATATAGTCAAATATTGTTTAAATAAGATCAGACCACAATTATTAAAATATACTTAAAATGTATCAAATTGATTGTACTGTACTGCCCCAATGTATCTTAACTAACTACACAGTATGTATGATGGTATATAAACTGAGTACAAGATTATCTAATATAAGTGTATATAGCCACAGTTACCAAATATATCTAAATATTTAAATATAATAACACTAAAATATAACTTATGTTACTACTAAGGCACCACGTTGGGTCACGCCAATTGTTACCAATTAAAGGAGGGAGAACTAGGGAATGGTGAATTGTTACCAATGAAATAGGGGAAACTATGGAATAGTGAAGTCAATATTAGAAAATTAAATAAAATGGATGGTTAAATAGAATTTAAAATTAATTTATAATTATTTACATAAAAAGGTTAAATAACCAGGAATGTAATGAATATAAAAGAAAATAGAAAATTTACTGAGAGCACTACAAAGAATTAGGCTTAGCTCAAGCAAATGAGAGTTCTCAGAGAGGAGGTTGGCACGTTTGCTTGCCTGTAGTAACTTGAAGTTAGAGCAGATCAATCCTAAGATGATCTTGGGATGGGCGCCAGGGTGAATTTAGAATTTCACTCCAATTTGAGGTATATATGGTTATATACTAACTGAAAATAAAAAATGGTAGGAAACAAATAAAAATCTGAAATGCTTTATACACTATATATTATAAACCTATTATCCCAGCCCTATATTTATATACACTAAAGAATTATTAACCTATATTCCCAAAATATATATTTACAAGAAAAGTTACTAAAAATATGACCCAAAAAATATATATACACAAGTTGATCTAACTGTCCTCTAACAATGAGGAAAAGGTTAAGTTAACAATATTGAAATATCTCACATGGAGTAAATAGTAATAAAAATATAAAATAATTAAATAGTTACTATAGTGCAGTTTAAAATCTGAAACTAGTCAGTTAAGAACCTAGAGCCATACATACTTCAATCTGATATATAAAGGTACATACAGATTACCATAAAATTGGATAATATATCCTGACACCTTAATATAAGGGTTCTATAAAATATTAAAAAAAAGAAATGCAAAATAAGTATGAAAGAATAAAAATACAAGTAAAAGGATTCAGCAAGGTGAGGGTACTAGCAGAGATTGTGCACAACGCTGTTTCGTAAACCCACTTAGGCTGACGGCCTAAGTATCCAAGGATATAAGTATAGGTTATAAAAAAAATTAAATTATTATTAACTATTATATGAATTGTCCTTAATAAACCCTATGATGTGATTGCTGTGAAGGGGTTCCCTTCCTCTGCTGCCTGATGTCCAGGTAGAGGGTGGTCTCAGGAATGGCTCAGCCTGTTTGTGTGAGCAGCCTGGCAGATCAACCAGAAAAGGCAAATAAAAATTCTCTTCTTCCCCAACTTAAAGTCCTATTTCTTTCCCGGATCCCAAGTACTTCCACCAAATTAAAATTCTTTCTTCCCCAAAATCCAATAAAAATAAAAGGTATGTCCAAAAACTTCAAGTCGTTGCCGGCAGGCAGAATCTTTCTAGGGATTCTCTTCCATAAAACAATAACTTCTCCAAATAAAATTTCTCCAAACTAAATAACTTCTTAAAAATAACCGAACCAAAACTCCTTATATTTCCCAAAAAAAAAATAAAACTTAAACTTTCTTCTAGTTTCCCTAAGATTCTGCCTGCCGTGATAAAATTATCGACTTCTCTTGTTGAAGTTTGGTTCTAAAATCAATCAGGAGAATATGGCCGATGGCCAATATTCGTTTTTCCTATTCAAGGTAATCGATTATCTTATCGATATCGATGTTCGATATATATTGATATATAGTTCGAAAGTCATAAAAATGAACTATAAGGGATCGTATTGTTGGTTGCATACTCCAACGGCGGCAAATTAGAGTAGATTAGATTACTAACGATTGTATCGTTACACAGTTTTGAAATTCGGACTTGTTGGAATTTTTGGTCGTTTGGTCGATGAATATGGAACATTTCGCATTCATTTGTGCTGTTTTGAGCTAAGACATTGACCATTGACATTTAAAAATTTGTAATTAACCTATAAAATTGGATTTGTTTTTGTTTCTTTGGATTATGTAGTTTGTATATCCAATACAAAAATTAAGGTTCTATTAATTTTTTGGAAATGCTAAGGAATACTCTGGAATACTAAGTTTTTGGAAACAGGACTTGTTCATGCGATAATAATTTTGAAATTTTATAAAATCATTTAATAGAATGGAGTATAACACAAATAATTCTCCTTGTTGGTGTCTTTTTAAAAAATGTCTTAAAAAAACAAACTGTCCTACGCCTATAAAGATATCAAATAAGTGATAAATAATTTATCAGTAGAATTATTGCTGCTAATTCTATCCATAATTCAATTTTTTACAAAGAACCCAATAAAATGAAATAAAAAAAATGTGGTTATGTTGCTACACACTCCTGACGTCTTGATGGTCGGTCGATCGATCGTGGACGAGTAATTGTGAGTTTAAAAATAAAAATACAAAAGTTGGTTGTTCGCCGTCGGACGGACTTTTGGTTTCTTTAGAGCTTGTGAAACTTGAACATTTATAAAATTTCCTACTTTTGTAGATGGACAAAATCTGAAAGTAGCTTTCTTATATTCTTCAAGAGAAATATCTTCTGTCCTCGTTTTCACCAGTTGGTCTTCTAATTCACAAACTTGAAGCTGTAGCCGGTAGTTATCATTTCTAAGCTGTTTGTTACTATTTCTAAGCTTCTCTTTTCTTGGAGAACGATTAGAAAGTTTCGGCGAAGTTTGTGTGAGCTGCGTTGGGGATACCATATCCGGAATTGGAATATGTTTCGGCGTTGAAGGCTGCAACTGTGGAAAACTATGATCTAAAAAATAGAAGTATAAAAATTATATTCGATTAAATTGACAATACAATTGCAAATATTATTAAATATAAATGACAACCAAAAAACAAATATTTTATCAACAATTATTATTCTTCATAAATTCTTAATATATATCTAGATAAAATATACTACCTTCTCTGACAAAAATATCGTCTTGAACAACAATTTTTGATGTAGAAGGCTGTTGGGGTGATGAAGGCTGCTGGGGTGATGAAGGCCTCAGCTGCGGAAAACTGTGAGCTAAACAATAAAAGTATAAACATTATACCCTTTTGAACTGACAATACAATTACAAATATTATTAAATATAAATGACAACAAAAAAACATTATATCAACAATAATTATTGTTCATGAATTCTTAATATATGCAGATAAAAATATATTACCTTCTCTTACAATGATATCTTGTTGAATTAAAATTTTTGATGTTGAAGGTTGTGTGGATAGTACGTCTTCATTATTAACTTCAATATCTGGGGAAAATCAAATGGGAATAATAAATAATGTGTTGATAGAAAAATAAAATGTAAAAATATGATTAAAAAATTATCATGTGCTTACCAAACTCTTCTTTTACTGGTGCAAATACACAATAACTGAGGTCTAATTTGGTTTCATCTATTAATCCAGGAAATAATGTTGGAACAGCAGTTGGTTGTAGCCTATTACGCAGATCGTTTAGAAAGTATCTTGGTTCAAAATGCACTCCACAGACTCGATATCTCTTATACAAATTTTCTGGTTCATTTTCTTCTAATAGATCTTCACGGCTACATAGTATTGCCCAATTTTTGGACCTAAAACAATTACAAAAATGTTAACCATCAAATGAATATTACCAAGTTTGTAAATTATTATGGATTGTGTTCAGTTTTCATTCCCTGACTTGTGTAAATTATTATGGAAAAGTTCCAAAGCTAACAAATTATTCTGTGAAAGTCAGTCATATTACTTCTTTGCCAGAACTTTTATTCAATACTGTCTTTTAGCTTCATAACTTTATAGTATATAACTTTTATATAATATTAATATTAATAACTTTTAGTAAAACTTTAGTTAATATTATAACTTTTAGTAAAATGAGTATCCACTGTAATTCTTAAACATGAAATTGTTTTATATGTATAGGTACTTTACCTTAAAAGATCTGAAAACATAAATACTAATTGTTATTTTTCTCACCTTTCTGGATCCCTCGGAAAAGTAAAAAAACTTTTATTGCACTTTGAACTTGTATTTTTACAATTTTTAACAGCACATACATTCCTACATTTTTTCCCACTAGTATTCATTTTACTTTGGACTTGCTTTGGAAAATAGTCAAAAATAACCCTGCAATACACACAAAATACTAACGAGTATCTTATGAAAAATAATACAAAATCAAAATAAAACCGGAATACCAAAGATTCAAGATTCAATGTTTGCTTGCAACAAAAACAAAACAAAACATGTGACGTGAGTGACACGTGATATGTATATTCTCAAAATGGCGACGATCTGCGCGATAAAGATGCGTAAACTTTTCCCGCGTAGGGGAGTGTCACTGCTGATTTGTTTCCTATGCTGTGGTGTAGACAGCTTAAGCTGACAGCTGACAGAGAACAATGATGGCCGCTAGTTAGAGCCCGTAATGTAAGTTATATGTTTAAAAAAAAAGAAAATAAAGTTCTCCAGAATAGTTATTTTTATAATATCCACCACCAACGAAATGTTTGGGATCGACCCACGGTTCGTAGACTTACTACGGTTGCCTCTTCCGACTGGGGTGGGGATGCTTGAGTTACGTCACAGGAGTACACAAGAATACAAAACCCATTTATTCGCGATTGAAACTGAATGTAGAGGGCAGGTCGATTGCAGTGTCATGGCCGATATAAATGGTATAAACAAAAACAAACATAACATTCGAATATTTACCATTACTTTTCCATGTTTAGTTTGGTTTAAGACGAGTTATTTGTACCATTTAATAATGGAAATTAACCTTGATGATATCTTTGAGTATTGTGGTGAAGCAAAGAGTCCATTGGTTGAAGGGGAAGCAGTTTTCAAGTGATGAATTCCTAAATTTTAACTTTAATGTTTCGAACTGGCTTGTGTATTGATGATGATGAATCCTATTTTGTGTATACCTGGGATCCCAGAATATAATATTCTGTGTAATGTTTGCCTTAACGTATATATGCATTATTATACCTTATATTTTTAATATGTTAATTTTTATTTTATACTATTTTTTGACATATGTAAGTACTTTATTGTATATTAACATAAATAAATAACTTTAACTTGGCTTTATTGTAAAATAGTTCATTTGATTACATGAAATCAACCTTAACTTGAGATCACCTGTCAGAAAATATAGCACATGAATTCTTTAAAAAATTGCATAATAAATGATTTTTTCTTCAAGTTTTTCAGTTTAGGAAAGAGAAATAGGGACATATCTTTTATAAATCTTGAATTGCATTGAGGACCAAAACAATATCGATTGGATTTAAAATACTTCAACGTAGTCATAATGCTGAAATTTACTAAAAATAATTAATAATTCTATTCAAATCAACAGATGTCTGGTTTGTTTATACCACTTTTATGCCCGGTATTGCGGTATTATAAAATATTTTACTTGCCAAGTAAAATTTAGTTTGAAAGTAAAATAATTTACTCTACAGATTTGCGTATTATAAACACATAGTAAATTAATTCTGGAAGTAAATCTGCAAACTAAACTATTCCTTAGTTTTCTACCAAGTAAATTTTATTTAACAAGTAAATATGACAGTTTCAATGTCTTTTCGGCTGGTGTGAAAATATTTAGATTTAATAATATTTTGAAATGTCTTCAGTATCATCAGTGTCAGATGTTAATTCTCCAACTGTATCTAGTGTTGATAGTGACCGGTATTTTTCAATAAATATACAGATGGATTGTGATGCAAATTTAAATGTAATCAATGTAGTTGCTAGATGGCCTGGTTACTCCCACAATAGTCATGTATTTGTAATACTCTGATAAGAGCTCAGTTTGAAAACAATGAGTTTTGTGAAACATATTTACTGGGTGATAGTGGTTATCCATGCCGAAAATATATTTTAACTCCCTTACATGATCCACAAACGCCAGCTGAAAGGAAATACAATTATACACATATCCGCACACAAAATACAATTGAAAGAATGTTTGGTGCCTTAAGGAGAAGGTTTCCTTGTTTGTCTACGGGACCAATGGAATAGAAGCACTACTAGATTGATAGAAATAAAATCTTCCGTCCTTCCATGATACTTCAGGCCTTCAAAGCGACGACATCAAATCCCAATAACAAGTCTTAGATTAGGACACACCTCTACAACATATGAATACTTGTTGAAGAGAGAACAGTGTGTTATGTTTGTGAATATAAAGTGATAATGAAGCACATACAGTTGAAAGACTATATCACCTCATTCCAAAATGTAAAGAGTGTCTAGTCAGTGTAAATAGAGCTATTCCAATTATAGTGACAATTTGTGTATTGCATAATATATGTAAAAGGAGGAATGATGTGCTGACTGATAGTGAAGATGGCAGTAATCACGCCGAGCCAGAAGATGAAAATTTAAACAATGTCACTAGAAATCAAGATAATTTTGCTGTAAGAAATGCTGTCATTCGTACTGCATTTATTAATTAAATAAAATGTGTATTTTAAAATTATTTACGGTGCAATAAAACATAATATAAGAATTATGAGTGTTTTAATTATTGTATATATATTTTTAATTTAACAAAAAAAAAGTGTTGACAATTCAAATAGTCACAGAAATAAAATTAACTTAATTGTGTCAACTTTTTCTTATTAAACTCTGGTAATAAATCTACGAAACAAACTAAATATAACACCAATAACTTAATGAATATGATATTTATGATACTATAATGAACATGTATTTTTATTACAGAATTTTTCTACAATAAATACATACTTATAAGAAAATGTTTATACCCACTTTTAACAGATAACTTTGTGAAAAATAGGCAAAAAATGTTACGGGTTCTATTAGTATTTCATTTGTTTATAATATTCTCAAGCGATATATTGTCATTTCAAGGAAGTCGTGAAAATAAGACCATATCAGCAAGTAGATACATAATCCTTTCATTTTACGGTATTTGAAAAACAAAGTATGTACATATATTTCAGTTTCATTGTTCAGTTTTTTGTGTTTATTATAATTCTTGAGTAAAGTGTTCGATTTTAAGACGGCAAAACGGAATTTGTGTTGTGGAAATATTAGATGAAATAAGCATTCCTTAACTTTTCCAGAGGACACAGCAAGATTTGTAAATTATTATTTCCTCTTAAATATTGCTTGGGTATCAGTATATGATGTCGTTTATATGATACTTCTACAATAATAAGATAACCAATTTTCATTTTAATAACTAATTTACAATAATATAAAATTAACCAAACGGTATTAAATTCCTAAATTCTCGAACTCAACCCCATATTGATGTTTCAGTTGTAGAATCTTTTCTTTAACTGCCAACTGTTTTGTTTCTGTTTATCTTTTCTCTGTTTTTCTCTGTTTCCGTTTCTGTTTTTCTAATTTTAAAACGTCTCTACTTAACTCTTCCTTTTCTTTTCTAATTTTCTTTCTTTCTTTTACTGCGTGGCATTCTGCAGGGGTGACAAGAAATTTAACATATCTTGGCAACTGATGTTCTACCATCGCATCAGTTACTTCTGTCAATACTTTACTAAAAGTGGACTTTTCCATGGTAAAAAAAAAACACTTCGTGCCACACTGCGCTGGTAGGACCCTGTTGCAAAAAATGCAAGAGCACTTAGCACCTATAAAATATAACATATTGGAATATATTCACTCAATTCTTAATATAAACAACATATCTTGGTTTTATGTGCTAAAGCATTTGATCTTTGCACTTGTCTTAGATGGGGCTGGAGACTTTCGAACCAAATGCAAAGACAATTCCCTCGATAACTTAAATATCTTTTGAAATACGGCTTCCACTAATTCAACAGGATTTACCAAATCTCGCAAAAGTCTTCTCTGAATGTTGTCTTCATCCCTATCAATAAAATAATTTTGTTTACAAAAACATAACCTAAATAAATAATATACTATAATTAAAAATATCTTTAACAAACCTTCTAATAGCATCATTTAATTCTTCTAATAACTCGTCGTTTAAAATCCGGCCAAAATTCTGGACTAAATTGTTCATTTTATATTTTTATTAACTACACATTATTCCCATCTACAAATAGTATGAGATTAAATCGTCTCTTTAAATTGAACCTGTTATCAAAGAATATAATATATTATGTTAGCAAGATAACGTAAAACGTTACCACATAACGATTTTTTTTGACAAATGTTATCTGTGATAAATCACATCAATTTTTAGAATTTAACGTAAATGCAGGTTAACGTGCACATTATTTAACATTCATTTTATTTATAAAACATTTTTGTTTTGATAAATCCATCCAATCACAGGGCTGAATATTAAGATTCAAATTACGTCACAGGAGTACAGTCCGGCTTAATGTTCGTTGGTTAGGCGGAAGAGGCAACCGTAGTAAGTCTAGGAACCGTGGGATCGACCTGACTTAAGCACGGGATCCTAACCTAACTTGTTTGTTTATATTTATGAAAATTTCCAATAGGGGAGTCCAACACATCCCTGGGATATTACCCAATAAAGGAAGAAGAAGAAGAAGAGTCCAGTGATGTGTAAGAGAGGGGATATGACATACCGTGAAATAGATGGGATCGGTTCGGCTATATTGTAGAGATGACAAAGTCAGTTCCATCAAGGGATCAGGTGCAATGACTCCGATTCCGACTGCAGACTCGGTTCATTTTTGCAGGTGCAGGTGCATGGATTTGTGGAATTGGAGGAGGCAATACGATCGACAATTGCTCTTTTAAACATTACGCTACCTATAATAACTTTAGAAGAATGGGACTTGATAAAAATTTGGTAGACATTTTACGCCCTTTTGAAACTGTAACTTCATCAGTTAGTGGGGAAAAATACATATCGGCATCATTAGTAATTGTATTTATTAAATTAATGTAATGGAGGAAATGATTACTTCTGGCGAACTGAAATCAGATTTATCAAACCAAGTTATTGGTAAACTAAAAAATGGACTCCAAACACGATTCACTAATATTGAATTTAATGTTGCGCTGGCTGCCAATACGTTTTTAGATCCACGTTTCAAGCTTCTACCATTTCAAAGCGCTGCAGCTGCAGATCAGATAAAGAAAAAAGTGACAAATATGGCAGCAGATCTCGTTGTACAAATTAGGGCTCCACCGCAGAGAGAAATGGAAAAAGAATCGACTACTAGCAGTGAACCTACGAGAAGCAAATATTCGCTTTGGTCTTCTTTAGATAACAAAATATCTAAGAAAACAACCGGTAGGGACAGGGATCAGTAAAGCTATCAATGAAGTGCAGCGTTATATTGAAGATGATATCTTATATAAAGACGAAGATTCCCTTCTTTGGTGGAAAACCAATCGACATAATTATCCCACTTTAAGTTCACTTGCAGGAAACAAGTTTGCTTGTTTTCTACAAGTGATTTAGTAAATTTTAGACATTCTAGCCTATAAATATCATTTTGCATATTTGTCTTTTTTTATACTTAATATTGTAATATAAAAATATTACAACGAACCAGGGTCGCTATTCTCGACATCACTCGCAATTAGCACGTATACGCACGATGCGAAGGTTTGATTTGCGAACGTTTTCTAAAAATGGTATTCTTGACCACCGTCCGCAAAAATATGCGACTGTTCGCATTGTTGACGTCTAAATACATTTAGCAACACTGTAATGTCTAAAACGCCTGTCTTCACTGCTGTCGGAATAAGGTTATTTTGTGGTTATTTACAGTTTACAGCTTGTTTACATTTCATTTGTATTTTGAAAATGGAAATGCAAACCATTAAAGTAAAAAGATCAACAAATGCCTCAGATGAACAAAAAAAATTATTGCTGGAGTTTATGAAAAAAAAATCCCAACTTGCTGGCTGCAAAATTTTCCAACACATTTTCGCAAAACGATGCCCAGAATAAATGGCAAGAGATTGCAAATGTATTAAATAGTTGTGGTGATGGGGCCAATAAAAACTGGCGAGCTTGGCGAAAGGTAATAAATAAAACATATCTTATCATTGCAAATGTAATATTAATTATGTTAATTTTATCGTAGACATGGCAAGACATACGAAGCAGGACAAAAGCCAAAAATGGGCAATTAAAAAAACATGCACAAGGTACAGGAGGTGGACCACCCATAGAAAAGGCAAACCCCTTTGAACAAGAAGTGCTAGAAACAATCACAGTAATATCACTGGCTGGACAACCGGACATTGCGGAATCAGAAGCAAATTTTTGTTTTAATGAAGAAGAAAACTTGACCGATCACCAACTTGAACCAGATGCAGTAGATACGACTGATACGAGAGAAGAATTGGAACAACAACAACCAACAGTTGCTCCAATAAAACTGGAAAAAAGCCTAATTAAAAATAAACCAAAAAAAAACCAAAAAAAACCAAGAAAAAAATTAGAATACACTTCAGAGGCAGCAGAAAATTATCAATTGTCTTTAAATGAAAAAAATAAAATAAAAAAAAATTATTATGAAAAAAAAATTTCATTGCTTGAGAGGTTGGTAGTTGCAAAAGAAAGAAGCACAGTTGCAAAAGAAAGAAGTGCAGTTGCCAATGAACGCATTGTAGCTGTATTAGAAGAGATGTCTAATAAACTTGATGAGTTTTTTTAAAAGATTTTATTTGTATTTTTTTATAAGTTTGTTTATTGGAGCAATATAAAAAGTTTGATTGTTTACTTATAGTTTTCTTTTCTTGAAGGGACATAGGTTCATTTTAAAATACAATACAATCATTATTTAGTAATAATCCTCAATAGGTTTTGATTTAGGATAATGAAAAATATGACACAAGGGCAATTAGAGATATCTATACTTAAAAAAAATAAAAATTCTATGAAGCTACAACTTTATATTTAGGTAAATAACATGTTTTTGCAATAAAAATGAGTAGTGGAAAACAAACTTTTATAAAGAATAACATTTGATAAATACCAATTTTTCTTTCTTGTGCAGTTCATATGGAAATACACTGTACTCAAATAAAGTAAAAAGGGGATAAGTAAAAACTGAGTATATTTTACTAATGTATTTAATTATTGGTAAAAAAATTGTTAATTAAATTTTGCCTTAACCTTCTCCCTGCAGCAAGTTCAGGATTGACACGTCTTGCTGCATTTTGTAAATTGTCATTTTGTGGCTGGTTCAGTTCGTTAAAAATTTGTCCTAAATCAATGTTTTCTTTATCAATAGGCATCTCAGGAATATTGTATTCGATGCACATATTATGAAGCACTATGCAGGCATTTATTATTCTGCTAGCGATTGCAGGTTTGTAATGCAGTACTCTGTGTTTTAATAAACACCTGAATCGCATTTTCAAGATACCATTACACCTTTCTATTGTGTTTCTTGTTTGTTTGTGGGCTATATTGTAATTATATCCAGGGTCGTTTACAGCAGGTTCTTCCTCTAAAGGAGTCAAGAGCCAGGGCCTTAATGGATATCCACTGTCTCCTAATAAATAATAATTATTAAATCCTCTTCTATGTAAGTTTTCTAATATACCCAAAACATTTGAATTGGCCCATATACAGGGTGGTGAATCGGCAAACGGGCCATAGGAAACTCAATGGTAAATTCTAAATTGTTGAATTCCTGCTTCCCTAATTATTTTACACCAAAAGTCATGGGAAACTATTTGTAGAGGACTCAAATATGTATCGAAAACAACTGTTAAAATTATTCTACGACTTAAACGTATTCCAAAATTTTGCTAAAATATAATACATTTTTCTGTGAAAAAATGTGTATTACGTGTTGCGTTTTGTCGTATTATTGCTTCTGATATTTGACAATATTTAAATCAATTATATTATATTTATCTATGATTTAAATGACCAAAATTTTGTGATTTATTGTTTAAAAAAAAATTAAGTTGATTAAAAAATGTACTCAGTTGAGGAGAAAAAAGCAATAATAAAAATGTTTTATTCATGTTTTATTATAACATTTGTTATAGTTTTATGTTTAGAAATAATCATATATTATTATTAGGAATAAAGATCACAGTAACAGTATATTGGAATTAATTGAATTGTTGTATAACTTAACTTAACATGGAATTAAATTTTAGTGAATTAGAATATCTTACGGTAAATAAAGATCCGGTAGTGGCAGGAAAAGGTTCGTGCTATTGCCTGAATACAACATTATGCGATTTTTCGTCAACTGAGTACATTTCATTATATTGATCGATTTGTAAACAATATAATTTATTGTTCACAAAGTAATAATGTTCAGTAGTATTAGTATTTAGTAAAATTCATTGTTTATAATTTAATTATAAAATAAAAAAATTGACAATTCAAATTATTGTCAAACATCTGACATTAATATGATAAAACACAAACGTCCTAATATATATTCTTGCATTACGTGTGGCCTAACTTTTAGGGGTGGTCTGAAAAATGTATCACATTTTTTCAAAATTTTGAAGTACATTTGATTCGTAGAACGGTTTTAACATTTGTTTTTAATTCAGAATTTAGTCCTCTACAAATAGTTTTTTATGACTTTTGATCTAAAATAATTAGGGAAGCAGCAATTTAACAATTTAAAATTTCCCATTGAGTTTCCTATGGTCCGTTTGACGATTCACCACCCGGTATATGAATCATGTGTGCTTCCTGGGTATCTTGCATTCACATTAATTATTTTAAGATTGCTATCACATATAAGTTGTACATTTATTGAATGATACCCCTTCCGATTAACATAAATGTATTCAGGATTTTCCTCATCATTAATTTTTGGTGGAAATATAGCAACATGAGTGCAATCGATGCACCCTATAACACCAGGAAACTGAAACTTTTCGTAAAACTTTGTCCTAGTTTCATTCAATTCCTCAACATTTCTTGGGAAATGTACCCATGTATTAAATATATCGGGTTCGTTAAGTGCCACGCTAACTTCTTCTAGACATCGCGACATTGAAGGTTGTGAAATTGATACAAATGATCCATTCGCGATGTCCATCTGGTAACTGCCTGTTGCGAAAAAAACGCAATGCAGCTAAAACCTATAAAAGATAGAATGTTTATAAGGGCTTTACTATAAGACAAAATGAAAAACTTACTCTTGTGGTCACGCTTAAA